CTGCTGACTTCTACAGTAGCATCTTCTTTTTTATGTTTTGTTTAGGTGATAAGTAAACAGGATAGGAAAGAGCCTTTTATCCAATTCAGTAATTAATATCATGTAAAAAGAACCACCTGGGAAACGAATTCCTTCTTTAGTCATTCAAGTACAGGATAGAATTCCTTTGATAACAGTGTCTGTAGCAAGCCTAGTAGTCACTTCCAGCTAATATGTCTTTGTTCAGTCATACCTCTGCAAGATAAAACGTAAGTGTCTTTTCTCAGAAACCTTTTGAAATAAATGAGATGACTTAATTTTGATTCAGTGAGTTCTATATTTGTCATAAATTTCTACCAAAATATCAACACAATCTCCAGACCATATTCCTTGCGTAGAATCTGGGCTGTTGTTACCTGTTTCAGTGAATGTGTAATTCCTAATATTAAATTCCACACTGTAGAAAATCATATAATGGTGGTAAAATGCTGCTTTGGTTTGACATTTTGGCATGGACTGCAGCTATAACAGCTGTATAATTTAATCTACTGATCCTCTTTCAAAATAATGTGTTTGCACTTTCTGTGTTAGTTTTGCATGTCAGCTCTACAGAAAATCACCTATTAGATCAATGCCTTCTTTAAAAGTAGCCACAGAATCCCTAATATTCTTTCTGCTAGAATATTTGGCATAATATGACCTCATCTGTGGATCAGGGCCTAATTCTATTACAGGATATAAGATGTACTGCTCTTGAGGTTGGGATGTAGTGTGTTCTTATCATGCACTTACATAGCATAAGAAATTTCCATGACATGAGATGATGTAAACCACTCATCTGATGTGCAGGCTGAGATGTAAATGTAGTGCATAAGAAGTATTGACAATAATGAAGAGTTTGTAACCAATGCAAATGTAGAATACAGACTGTACAATTTTTAAGATAGTTATTAGATGCTGTTTTCTTCTAAGCCTGTTATTAATACTCTTTGTTCTAATGTTACTCATAAGATATGTGCTGGATGCTTAAACATCAGATTTTATTTGGATACTTATAAACTTTTATATTTGAAAAAATAATCTCTGGTTTAATTCCTTCAAAGACAGTAGGGCTACATCAGGAATGAATTTATTTTTGTAGTGGTTTCAGTATCAGAAACAAAAGATGTTTTGGGATGAAAGCTGGATTATAGACTTCACCTGCATCAAACAAGGTTAGTAACTTCTCAGTTTGATACTATGATCAGTTTCCGTAATAATTTTGAGAAATAATCTCAATCATAAGTACATCTTCATGTTTTAAGGGTCTTAACAAAAGGTGAACCAATTTATGAAAGACATATCCAAAGTTCCATCCTTGTAACTTCTGTGAGCTGATCACTGATATTTTTGTTTATTGAATCTTTATATGTCAGAGTTATTTTAAATAGCTTCCTTCTTTTTCATAGTGATTTGTGAATTAAAAAGACAGGCCTATCCCAAAATAAACAGATAACCTCTGGACTTTGACAAAATACATTACAGTTGCTTCAGCAGATGTATCATTCTTTATAATCGATATCACTAAGTTGCCCTGGATTTGCACAAATATAATGAGGGACATAATGAAATATTAATTTCTCTCAGTCTATGCTAGTGTTGATAGACTTGCTGCAAAAAGTAATTCATTGTGGCCAGAGTTTTTTTCATTTTACTTTCTGGATATAAAATATTATTTAATTGGTTCTAATTAAACATATTAAGAATAAAATCAGACGTTATTATATGCTTTAGTATGCTGCACTTAAAATAGGTAAAGATTATTTACTTCACTGTTCATTGTTTTAGCATTCAGAAGAAAAACAATGCCTAGACCCTCAGAAAGGGTAAATCTGTAGAAATTTACTGAAGTTCATAGGTCTGTGCTGATGTACACTTTCTCACTTTCTGTTCTGTGAGGAATTGCTAGAAAGATGTCTGCTTTGCCTGTGTTATGTCATTGTGTTGCTAGTAGAAATGCCAAGACATTCTCCTTAGTATATAGTAGAGGTACTTTCAGCCTTGGACTTGAACATTAATTTCTGTGTAGTTTTGGTATGATATCCTTGTTGCTGTAAAGAATAGATATTGGCTTAGACATTAATTTGAGTATACAAACCAAATGGGATTTCAATCCAGATTTGTGAAAACAGAAATAGAACACTCTAGGAAAAATGTCTATCATATCGCCAAAAGGAACATGAACAAATTTTCAGCTCATAGTGAATTAGAAAAGGTCATAAACATCACATGGGAGGAGAAACAATGGAAAGAGATTGAGGGAAATTAGAAGCATGATCAAAAAATAACACATTAAAGACAAAAAAAAAAAAAAAAAAACAACCAAAAAACATAAAAATATTAAAACAAAAAAAAAACCATAAAGAAATAACACATTAAAAATCAATTTGAAAATTCCAAGATGAAAGACATAGTTTTCCTGGAGAGAAGCCTGTGAAGCAACAATACTGTTTAAGATCTAGGAGTGATAATTAATGACTTAAGAGTAGTGAGGACTGAAAATTTGATTAGATTTGGAAACAGACAGTATATGTCCTCTGGACAGAGTTGTCCAGAGATATCCATTTGTCTGAGTAACCCATAAGGCTGGGCCAACTCTTAATCCCAGGGACATGGGTTAATGGAGAGCATCTGCCGCCCGTTTTATGAGCCGTCTCAACCTTAAACGTTGACACCTTTGTAGTCTGAAATGTACAATTATCTAAATCGAAACATATCAGCTGTGCTGTACCCAGGGTATGTAGCCTGTGCTGTGAAAAATTAGCTTTATTTTTTCAAGATAAATGATAACTAATTTTTTGGTGCATTGTACCATATACATATACATATATACACACACACACACACACACACTCTTATTCTCAGAGCTATCTCGGGACCTCTAATATATTTCTGGGTGGAATGCTGTAGAAAGGCTCCAAACGTCAATGCAATTTTGAACTGCATATGGATAACACTGTGGTGTGGGAACATGGCAGTCCTGATGAAAGGTGAGATGTTGAACTTCCTCAGCAACACTTTATTGGATACTGACACCAGGGAGAGTTGCTGAGACTAATTGGCTAAACCTGGGTTTTAATTGGAGATGGTGAAATGATATATAATCCATTAAATTTGTTTTGAAATCCATTTTGTTACCTTGAGCTGGTCAACAGAGATTAAAAAACGTATGTTGGAATCACTGATTTTTTTTTTTCATCTGACTGTGTTGTTGCTCTTCTCTGACTTCCCCCTGGTGTCAGAATCACTTCCCACATCCCTGCACTTTACAGTGTTCTAGGAGCTCCAAATAAACTTGTTAAAGCATGGTACAGGGCTTGCTCTGCTTCCCTGGGTTCTGTCCTCCGCATCTAAGTAGCAGCAAGGGCTAATCATCTCAAGAGTAGAGGAACGAAACTTGCAACAAATTCTGAGGATTAGTGGGAAAGATCTCTGCCAATGAATCACCTCTAGAACTTTTTTACTTTTTATATAGCAGCCACATTCCAGGCAATGGCTTTCTGTCTTAAGTGTTAACAAGAACAACTGAGATGCAAAGATTTGAAGAATTCCTTATATTGTCTGCCTCTGGAGTCTTTACTTTGGCAATAAATATGCATCTTCAGGTGCCTTTTCTCATCCCACATTCCTTTTAGATTGCATAGTATGGACAGCAACAGGAAGCATGATGAGTGCTCCCCCAGCACCCAGTGACTCCAGTGTCAGCTGTATCACTGCTCTGAGTTCCTGCACAGCAGCTGCCAACATGGTCAGGAAACAGCACTTCACCCAGACCGGGAGATAGTAAGTCAATATATTATTCATTTATTGCTATACCTACTATACTGTAATTTCACTTTACTTTCCAGTTCTTGCCACCTTACTGTTGATAGGTAGTGCAAAAGCTTGCATTTCTCTTGTTAGGCCAAATCCAGCAAGTTAGTATCATCTGACTTCTCTACCACTACCACATACTGGCTGTGGAGTATCTTATATGCCAGGCTTCGGTTTTGGTGGTCATTTCTCATTTTCTCTTAAGGACTTGTTAAAAAGCTGTGGCTGCATAATGTGTCTTGCATCTGTTAATGATTGGCCCTTACTGTTCAAATATATTTGGAATCAAGGCTTTTATGCAGCCCTTTTTCTAAAATGCAGGCAGAGCACAGCTAGGCTCTTTGCACTGAAGAGTGGTATCCTATACAGTAGCACATTAGAAATCTTGTCCTTAAAACAGCTGGCATGACTGAAGATACAGAGCATTCCAACTCTGGTTCACATTATAAAGATGCATGTCATAAAACAATGCAGGCAAACTGTATAGCCATATCCTGCTATGCAGAAAGCAATTTTCTCCATAAAAATAATTAGGAGGTAGGGGCAGAACACATGCAAAGATGGAAGTGACACCTACCATTTGAACAGACATGGCAGGATCTGCGCTTTGCAAGACAGAGGAGCCTACTTAGGATCATCGACTTGGGGAGAAGCTGCATTTTCAGCATAGATCACTGTTCTGGAAAATCACAGTCACTTCATTGATGAGACACTGTGTCCAGCATAGATCTTTTACAGTGAGCAGTTTTGCTGCTTCTTTCTGAATGATGACATTTTCATCATCATCATCATCATCTTCCTCAGATGAATCATAGAATCATAGAATCATTATGGTTGGAAGAGACCTCAAAGATCATCAAGTCCAACTGTATACCTGATACCACCATGTCTACAAAACCATGTTTTGAAGTACCACACCTAAACGTTTTTTGAACACCTCCAGGGACGATGACTCCACCACCTCCCTGGGGAGCCTGTTCCAATGCCTAACAACTCTCACAGTGAAGAAGTTCTTTCTAATGTCGAGCCTGAACCTCCCCTGGCGCAACTTCAGACCGTTTCCTCTCATCCTATTGCTAATTACCGGGGAGAAGAGGCCAACCCCCACCTCACTACAACCTCCTTTCAGGTAGTTGTAGAGAGTGATAAGGTCTCCCCTCAGCCTCCTCTTCTCCAGACTAAACAACCCCAGCTCCCTCAGCCGCTCCTTGTAAGACTTTTTCTCCAGGCCCTTCACCAGCTTTGGTGGCCCGTACGGGGAACAAACTGATCAAGATCAAACACATTCACCAAGGGTGAAAGATGTAAGAATGGGGCCTTCAGTCTCACTGGCAAAGCACCTACATCTGCTACATCACAGACCCCATACTCTGTGTTTATATGGTGAGTTTCACTTAAATTCCTGCATGTATCTCCCCTGGATTCTTTTATTCTTCCAAGGAAAATTGCTTTGCTGGCTATCAAACTCAGCTGCTTCATCACTGAGAATGCCTGATCCCATGAGAACAAAAGGTTGTTAAATATCAGTGGTGGATCTCCAAAAGAGTAGACAGAAGCAATGGATAGCAGGGATGTTTTACTAGTTCTGACATTTCCTTTGCTGCTATTCCATCACCCAACTGCCTCAACTGACTCTTAACACTTTCACATTCCTAATGTCATCCACAGATCAAGGATGCTTGAATATAATCACTAATGCTTCCTTTATCATAGAAACAGGGCCCTGTCACCTGTCATATACTCAGATTCAGATTTACACCCACATATGGACATGCTTAAGTTCTGTGCCTCATCTCTAGAGATATGAAACTGCCCACTGTAGAAAAAACATCCAGCCCATCTTTGTAGTCTTTTAAATTTGGCTCATGAATTTGTCCTAAAACTCTGTGAATTGCATTTCCTTCTGTTTCAGCGATGGTAGAACAGTGGCCATAAAGAAAATAATGAAGACAACATTCACACTGTCCAAATCCATACGTAAAGAAGTAAACCAAGTAAGGTAAGAGGTGAAACCTGAGAAGTGTATGTTGTTCCATTTTTACACTGCTTCTTTAAAGTTACACTCTGTCCAGATATGACTGCAAATTCATATTTCTCTTTCTTTCAAACTTAAACACCAGATTAAAATCTCTTTATGCCTGTTTAAATTTTCTCTCTACCTTCCGAGACAAGGCATTTGGCTTTCCAGTTACCCTTCAAAAAACAGGAGGGATATCCATGAAAATTACTGGTGTGCTATGATTTCTGTTAATTTTCACAGGGAACTTGACCATCTCAATCTCTGCAAATTCATTGGAGGTTGTATAGAAGTGCCAAATGTTGCCATTGTGACAGAGTACTGCCCCAAAGGCAGCCTAAGTGATGTTCTGCTCAATGAAGACATTCCTTTGAACTGGGGCTTCAGGTAGAAAAAAGCTTTTGAAAAACTAAATGACACAAACTGTGCTATGTGCTGTTTAGGACAACATGTTAATTTTAGACAAAATCCTTGGATAGGCAGGCCTGCACTGTGATATGGAGAGAATGAAGAAGTAAGAAAGAAAGTGAATTCAAATATCCAGCCCAACTTGTCTTCTGGATTTTTGAGCAATTAGATACTTAGCGCTGGTCATGCTAAGCCAATGACTTATCAACCCACTTTTAGCTATACTGGAAAACTGTTTTAAAACCTTTTTTCCCATGTAACTTCATTTTGTTCCCAAATACCTTGGCAATCACCATTTAATTAAAAATCACTGCATCTCTGTTTATGAAGACATATTGGTGAAATGATTAGCATACCTACAAACATGTTATTATATTTACCAATACAGAAAATGAGCTCATGTTGTCAAGGAAACTTCCACAGAGGCAATGATATTGTTTTTTGGAATAATCTTCTTGGCACACTCTCTACTTCTGCCTTATGTTTGCCTTCAGCAAAGAAAAAGATTGTAAGGGAGGAAACCCTCCAAATAAAGTGAGGAAGTTAATAAAAATTGTTTGTCTCGTAAACATTTGAAGGCACTCTCAAGGATACAAAGGTACTGGGAATTTCTAGAAGAAACTCAACTGTCTTAAAAGAGGCTAAAGTCCTGTGGATGCTGACAACTGAGTGGGAGTTGAGGGCTTTCAGCAGCCCACCTTAAGTGTTTTGGAAAAATGAGCACAAGGACACAAATTGAAAGCTATTGCAGTCATAGGGAAGCTTTCTGTCAACTTCACTAGGCTTTTAGAGCCACTCTTGAGTGAAGATTTAGTGGAAATACTAGCTCATTGATTCTTGTCTTTCAGGTTTTCTTTTGCTACTGATGTTGCACAAGGGATGGCCTATCTTCATCACCACAAAATGTATCATGGACGGTTGAAGTCCAGTAACTGTGTGATAGATGACCGATGGGTTTGTAAAATTGCAGGTAAAGAGAAGATAAGAAACAAAATTCTCAAACTGTCCAGCTAACTCACTAATGCGTATAGATTTCACACTTAACACTTGTCCCAAGCACCTCCATGATGACATTTCATGGGGAAATGCTGACTATACTAGCTTTCACGAAAAGTGCCCCATGCTGAAGCAAGTTTCATGTTATAGAATCATAGAATCATTATGGTTGGAAGAGACCTCAAAGATCATCAAGTCCAACTGTATACCTGATACCACCATGTCTACTAATCCATGTTTTGAAGTACCACATCTAAACGTTTTTTGAACACCTCCAGGGACGATGACTCCACCACCTCCCTGGGGAGCCTGTTCCAATGCCTAACAACTCTAACAGTGAAGAAGTTCTTTCTAATGTCGAGCCTGAACCTCCCCTGGCGCAACTTCAGACCGTTTCCTCTCATCCTATCGCTAATTACCGGGGAGAAGAGACCAACCCCCACCTCACTACAACCTCCTTCCAGGTAGTTGCAGAGGGCGATAAGGTCTCCCCTCAGCCTCCTCTTCTCCAGACTAAACAACCCCAGCTCCCTCAGCCACTCCTCATAAGGCTTTTTCTCCAGGGTCTTCACCAGCTTTGTTGCCCTTCTCATTATGTTATCAAGTCAAGTCATTTAATGTGTGTCTCTGATGCACACATCAGATCCCACAAATAATGGAGTCTATCAACATCAGTCTGAGCATAAACTCTGTCTCATTCTCAGTTTTGATACAGAGAGAAAAACCTAAGCCATGGACAGTGCTGTAAAGACGTGTAATAATGCTGCCTGATTGGTAAACACAAAGTAGTTTCACAGATAAAAGCAGACTCAACTCAGAGCTTTGCAGCCCTGTGCACAAAACTGAGTTGTATTCTCTCAGAGACAGAGCTACAGGTTTGGTCTGCTCCTGGTACAGGGAGACAGCCTGCAGGGACAAGAAAACCACTGCAGAGTCTAGTTTGATTTGCAGCTGCCAAAGGAAATTAAAGCAATGATCGCCTCTTCTTCTTCCTCCCCAAAGTAGTTATCACACACACACTAACCCGCAGTCACCTTCAAAATAGCAGCAACAGATTTGTCTTTCAATGGTTCATCCTATGACTAAGGTTTCTACACAGGGCCATGCCTGCTTCTCCAACTTATTTAGTATCCTGCTGCCTTCAGAACTGCCTACTTTGCTTAGAGTCTGTTCTGGAGAAAAGCATAAAAAAAATAGATATTGTTGAATTACATCAACTGCATCACCTTAGCACAGCTCCTCTAAATTAAATGGGATCTCTGTGAAATTGTTGGCAATTTAACTGGAAGCACTGTAGAGACTTCAAATATTCATTGTTTATCTGGATGCGATAATGTTAAACAAACCTCACAAATAACCAACGTGGCAGCTGTTTGAAAAACTCCAATGACCTCCAACATAAAGAATGAAGGTCTAGGACCATCTTAATGAGATGTCACTCCAGACAAAACCAGACATCTGCATGCTGCCTTCCCGTACACTCAGCAAAGTGCTGTTTGTACCAGGAAGAAAACTGAAGTCAGTTGGTTTTTTCTTCTCTCCCATGCTGAGTCACATGCTGAGAATCTCTTCTAAGTTAGGCTAAAAGTATACCTGCAAAGATGTTTCACATTTATGCTGCCTTTGTTCTGAAGCTAGTGCTGTGTGAGTAAAGCTCACTATCTGATTTTTAGTAGTTCTAGTCTGTCTAACTTGTCATTACTCTATCAACCTGCCACCCCAGATAAGGATCAGGGGATGAATAGAACAGAAACGTGCGTTTGCATGCTAACTTTTGCACTGAAGTGAGCCTATTCTCCGAATATAATTTTATAAAATCATAACATAATTCTGATTGGAAGGGGCTATGTAGTTCAACTTTCCTACTGTTATGCAGTCTTACCCAAGTACTTGGTTTCCAGATCCTGTATTTGCAATTGGTTTAGAGGGACAAGACCACCAGGTACATGCTATTTTTAGACCAAGTTGCGTATTTCAAACAGAGAAATTTAATTCCTTTAGACTAGTTGTGTTACTGTTTACTAATGCATGTGTTCCAGAAAAGTACCCACTGAATAGTTTGCCTCCTGTTTTCTTCCATGTTAGATTATGGTTTGCAGTCATACAGAAAAGAAGATTCTCCTGAGGGGTCAAGCTTGTACCAGCAGCATTTGATACAGATTTACAGAGCTCCTGAAATCCATTCCCTTTCAGGCTTTGAACCCAATTCTATGACAGATGTCTACAGGTAGTTAACTTTCCCTGTTTCTTGCACTTAATAATCTCATCTCAAGTTGAATATTCTTTAATCACAATTAGGCTCAGTGTAATTCTGTGGTCATCCCAGGTACATGTTTCATTGTATTTTAAAAAGGATTGATCATGGAATACAGAACAGCATAGATACCACAGGATCTTCTCTTTCAACGTAGGTAACCATATACTGAATTCACTGACATTATATGAATGCAGAGTTGGTCTAATGATTTATAAGGAGTTACTGGTAGATAAAAAAGGTATAAAGATCTGCTGTTATCTAGTAATCCTTTTTTTTGTTGTTTTTTTTTTTTTTTTTTCTTGTGAAAAAGTAGATTATTTTCAACAATGGCAAAACTTTAATAGTTAACAGCATCAATTTTCCAGGATGTCATAACGCACATATGCATCCCATAATTCTATAATTAGTGTCAATACATTAATTTTGCTGCATACACACAGTGAGAGAGAAAAAATAGAGATATGACAAGGAAATTGATACACTAGTGAATAGTTCCATCCTTTTCCTTTTGAAAGCCTTTATAGAGAATCACTTTGCAATGGCTTATCTGGCTCTTACGTTTAGCCTTGCCAGAGGTGGATAGCTTCTGTCCAACTACTTTTCACATAAGCTGGATTACAATTGAATTTTCAGAGAATAATAATTCAACTAAAAAGTCATTGGACTAGATTTTTAAAAAGATTGCCTATATTTCTTGGTTGACACATGAATTTTCTGTATTAAGGAGGAAAACCACTGTGTTCTTGGTGTATTCTATTTCATAGTAATGACACTTCCTCTGTCTGCTTACTTCCAGTAGTTTGCTAAAACCATTTGAAAGAGGAAAATGCAGAATGGTACTACAAGATGTTTTGTGGCCGTTTTCTCTTACTTTTTCTTGCCACATTCCTGGCCCATCAAAAGTCTCCTATTTCCTGGTGACTTTGGTAGCTAGCAGAATGTAAAAAGCTGGAATTCAATTAGAGATTGAAACACTGATAGTGCAACACAGTTAGGCAGAAGAATGCGTGGCTATTGGCACTGTTTATTAACAGCATTTATCAAAGAGTAGCTATTATTGCCTTTTGTCAAAAGCTCTGAGTTTTACTCTGACCTGCACTAGGCCACAACAAATGCTTGCTACCTTAAGTGACTGTTATGGGGCTTTTATTGAAAAACTAGTTGTAGAAACAGCGAAAGTTGTTTAAATCTTCCCCTTTTTTTAATTAGGATTCATTAAAAATTATATGGACTGAAGACATGATTTTATATGTAAGATTTACTGGATTAATGCATATTATTCCCTTGTAAAGAAATATATGCATATACAATGTGCTAGAACGTTATTAATTGTAATTCATTCTATCAGATTATGTAAGCAAGAATTTAAGGTCCTAATACTACTTATACCTATAGGCTTAAACATATCCTTAGAATTTGCTTCAAAATAGCTCAGTTAAAGGCAGTTTGTCACTGTGTTGATATTTCTGGCTATTGCCATTTGTCCTGTGTCAGTCTTTACTTTTTCAACATGGACTGGTCTTAGAAAGTACTGTGCTTCAATTAAACCGTAATTTTAGAATTGTCTTATGCATTGCAGTTTATCATTGCCCCACAGCCAAAATGCATTGCAGAAAATGTTTCGTTGGTGCTTGTCTGATTCACACTTTGCCCCTGTTCAGGTTAGGTATCATTAGTTGACTCGGCAGGCCATCTGGTGTCCTGAAACCATTTTTTGCCAAGGAGTCCCCTTCAAATAGTGCTAAGAGCTGATTTCCTCATATCATAGATGACTACAACGAACTTTTGACAGACTCAGTGAATGCTTGCTGAATCTATCTTGCTTTCAGTCCCCGAGTCTCCAAAATCCAGGTCTTCTTTTGTTGTCCTGCAGTTAATCCTTTCTTGGTAAAAAAGAAAAAACAGTAAGAGATGAAATCTAAAAAGGGAAAAGAGTAACGTGTAGCCAGGGAAGAAAGACAGAGATGTATCCTGTAGCCTTAAAAGGTCTGTCCTTTTAACTGAGCTGTTCTTCAGAACCTGCATTTTCACATGGTTTGTGTTTGATGATATGAGCAGGTGTTAACCTTTCCTGATACATGAACGTGGGCTTGCTGGCCAGGAAGCAGTGTCCCAGTCTTGAAATCCTCGGTTTTTACCTGTGAAAAAATTCCATTAATATTCCTGAAGGTATAGCCCAAATAAAAAATGAGTAGAAACTGCAGGAGTGAGACCAGATGAATCACTAGCTTTTAAAGTTCTTCAAGGAATGTGTTGGTCAGATGGGAAAGCTAAAATGAAAATGAGAACAGGAGCATGAAAGCAGCTCCTGTTTAAGCTGAAGAGGCTGATGCCAGTCATAGTTTCTCCTAGACTGGCTCCTCTTGATTTATAATTGTTATGTGAATTTCACTATCCACTATGTTAGGACTTTTTTTGAGCAGTGTTGCTGAAGCCGAACGAAATGAATACTGCTTTATCAGAGTTACCATCATCTAATTACTCTCCTTGAAAATCTGTTTCAGTTTTGCTGTCTCACCAGCATTGGTATTCCTTTCTACTACCAAATCACCCCAAAATTAACATAAAAATCGCATCAGGTTAATTTCTACATTATTCAGCATGGTTTATATGCATTCTATTATTTACCAGTGGTGGTCCACAAGTGGACTGAAAGATAGATAGACATCATCCATTATGCAGCCAGAATGCCTTACAAAACAGAGCAACCACTAGCAATACAACAGATTGCAAACCAATATTCCCCATAAAAATAAATGTTATCAAGTAGAGATGCATGTGGGGAGTTAATTACACATTTTTCAATACATAAAGAAGCAAGAGCTTCTTCACCAGGACTGCTGGCTGGAGGATGCGCTGGCTTCTTAATGATCACCGTTCTAAAAGATCTCTAGTGAGCTCAATAAGGAGACTAAACACCCAGTTGTTACCCTGTTTTTTCCATTCTTCGCCCTTGATGAATATGTTTGATCTTGGTTCATCTGAGGAAGACGATGATGAAAATGTAATTCAGAAAGAATAAAAAAAAATAGTTCCTGTAAAAGATCTGCTCTGGACACACTGTCTCATCATTGACTTCTTGGAGATTTTCCGGAACCGTCATCTATGCTGAAAAGAAGCCACTCCTCCAGCTGATGATCCCTATGAACCTGCTCCTGCCCCTTGCTTACAGCACAAACCTGTCTTGTATGTCTAATTGATAGGTATCATGTAAGATCCTGCACATATCCCCTCTGGATTCCATTAATTCTTCCAGAGAAAATCTCCTTGCAGTCTGTCAAACTCAAATGCTTCATCTTTGAGACTGATAACTGTGAGAGGAGACTGCTATGAAACGATCAATGACAGATTCTGAAAACACAGAGTAGTAACAGATAGCAGCACTGTTGCCATCCTCCCTTTTGGGACACCAGGCTTTCAATCATAAAATGGGGAAGAATAAGAAATCATGGAAAGAAAAAATCACTGACTCCATTGACTGTTATTTCATTAAGATTTTGGTTTGGTTTTTTTCTGCAGTTATGGCATCATTTTACTAGAAATTGCCACAAGAAGTGACCCAATGCCAGTAAGTAAAGATGAACTTCAAAGTTTGCATGAGAACTTTGTTGCTGAATATACAATCCAAACTGTGAGTAACTGCACCTTTGATTTACTTTTTGAGCATGTATTGTCCTCTTGATTTTGTGGGTGCAAGTTCAGTTCCAATGAGACATGCAATTACAGTTTCCTCATGCATCTACCAGTCTTCCCTTCAGGATTTCAAAGAAGAGCATATGACAAAAATAATGTAGCTCCAATACTGCCTTTTCGTTAGCTCTGTGAAGTTTAAAGGCAGGGAGGAGGGGTGGAAAGGTATGGCATAACATCTTCCTTTTTCTCCTGTTGTTCCTTCCCATTCCTGCCATGCACAGGCCCTTTCAGTGGAGCCTTGCAGTGGTAAGAATATGCCAGAAAAGCAAATGAGTTGCTCTCCATAAGGAAAATGTCTTTTTGCACATGTCTTGTGATCAGTGCTAAACAGCAAATACAAAAAAATCACATTGAAATTGAAACCAAATGTTCTGGATATATAACGATGTTCTGCCTGAAATAATTCACTTAACAAGAATTCTAACAATGAAGACCAGAAACCGCCATTCTTCCATTTCTGACAATTTATTATAATAGACCAATGTAGGCCTCCTGGTTTCTCAAAAGTTTCCCAAAATCTTGCCAGGTACTTATTTGTTTCCAAAGTTGTTTACCTTATATAAACAGAGAGATTAAAGTATTTCAGCCATGAAAAACCTTTTAGACAAGAGCACTCAGTTTAGATTGGGTTATATACTTTTTTTTTTTTTTGGTGTTCTCATATAAAAATTCTGATCTGGAAGATGTTACAAAAGTAATGATGATCATAGCAATATATTTTCAATGGGTGGTATGAAAAACATACTACTTGTTTCAACATTGTTTAATCCCTTTTTCTCCAGAAAGATGATGTGCATTTGGCTGAAAATTCTTGGTGCCCACCTTTGGTAGAATTAATTTCAGGAGAGGCTGAGAATTCTTGTCCGTGTCCCACAGATTACATAGAGGTGAGTAAGATACAATATTGTGCACAAAAATTCTTTATTGAAGTGAATTTAAGACATGTCACAGAAGTTTTATGGCAATATTACCTTTGATGAATGTAAACAACCCAGAAGTCAAGAAGTACATCTCAAACAAGGCACAATGAAATGCTTTAATATCCTTAATTAAAAAAAAGTCATTCTGACAAATTGAAAGTTTCAGTTGTCCCCTCAAATTGTCAATGTAGTAAATACTGTTTTTAATATTCAATTATTGATTTTTGTGCATTTTCATTTTGTTATAAAGTGTTGAGTTCCATACATATTTTACATTCATAATATCTATTTAGCTTACTGGCAAAGGGTTTTCAAATAGTGAAGTATGTGTTACAGCAAAGTGTGAGTTTGGTTTGGTTTTCCTGCAAAAGGTCTGTGTGTTCAGCAGCCTAAAACCTCCTAATGAAATAAAGTACATGCTCTCCTGTTTCAATTAAATCAGAACAAGATTGTGGCATCCTTGTTTCAGCTTTAGAGCTTTATGATTCACCTTTGGTGGTTTGTAGCAACCTAAATGTAACAAACTTCTCATAAGCAGCACTGGATTTTAGTCGGGAGTTAACACTCTTAAGAAGTAGTTGAGTTTTTAACCTTTTGTGAATTTTGTGTACAGACAAGTCCTCTGAAAACAGTACATGACTCCAACAACATAACACTCTCTTAAAGCAAAAGGCAAGAGCTTAAGCAGTGTGTGGCAGAAGGAATGCAAGCATCTAATTCATTATTTCCCGCAGCAGCATTTTCATAAATCTATAGAACTCCACAGACCTTAGTATAGCTCTCCCACTTTTCACCAGCTGCAGATAGGGCTTCACATGCGCAGTTTGCACTGAGAAAATAGTAGTACTAATTAGAAACATTGCCTGTGCTTGGAATGACAAAAGACTTTTTTTTCCCTGCTGCAGTTAATCAGAAGGTGCAGAAAAAATAATCCAGCCCAAAGGCCTACATTTGAACAAATCAAGAAAATGTTGTACAAGATGAATCCTAATAAAGTCAGCCCTGTTGATGTGATGATGGCTCTGGTAAATTTCATTTTTTAATCCATTCCAAGTTAATCTGCTCACTTGTGATAACTTTCACCTCCATCCTTCAGTTTTGTTTTTTGATCTCACACCCCTTGTTTGATAAGAAAGTCCAGAGTCATCCATTCACCTCTAGTGGGCTCATTGTAGCTGCAGTTCTGCTTGAGACCCAGCTTTCCTTCTCATTCAATTTCTGTTAGTTTTTCTTAACTTTCTCAGCTTCTTCGGAATGGAACACTTTTGTTTCTTCAGTCAAATATGGTTTGGTTTGTAATGCACTTGCAGGAAACTACATTCCTCTTTTGCAGTGGCTCAATGGTGGTCTTACAGTACTCGGTGTATAGAATACCTGCATGCCACAAGTAGCATGTTTACAGATGCACTTTGAGCAGACTATCTTAAGCCCATCAGCAGACAAAAGGGACTCATGCCTCCACAGCCTGTTGCCTCACACAGAGTGAGGATGCAAAAAGCATAGCATAGTATAGCAAGATAGTTTATGAAACAGCATTGTGAGATTTTGATAAGAGATTGAGTCTTAGATACCTTCGGTTTTGGTAACAGATTTTAACCCATGTCTGCAGCTTGATCTCTGCATTAGATTTGACCCCTATAGCTTACATGGACTTTAAAAAGACTGGAATTGGCTTCTGCCCTCTTACATGTAAGCAACAATCTCAAATCTAGAATCGTAAATTTACCTAAGGAGAAATCTGATCTTTGGCTTTTGTGAAAAAAATTCAGCTATCTCAGATCTGAACTTTTGCTTATCTGAATGTTTGCAAAGCAGAATCATTCAAATAATTAAATTCTATCCAACTATGAATCTGTTTCAGTAGAAGGATTATTGTAAGCAATTGTTTATGTTATTTAGATGGAGAAATATAGCAAACATCTGGAGACACTGGTTTCTGAGAGAACCCAGGATTTAATGCATGAAAAACAGAAGACTGATCGTCTGTTGTACAGTAAGTTATAGAGCAAAATACTCTGTATTCTTCTCAATAATAATTTGATTTTAACTGTCTAATTACAAACAGAAACCCTTTGATAGGTGATTATTTAATACATAATGTGTAGTTGGCAATGAATTAATATACTTGTTCCTTGCAAAGTTGGAAAGATATTTAGTTATTTTTTATATTTCCCCCCTAAAAATCAGTGCACTCATCTGAGAGCAGTGCACTCATCTGAGAGCTATGATTCCAGAATCTGTAGTGCTTTCACTTTGATCTTGCTTGGCTATCCTTCTGTATAGTTATAAATATTGGGGAATTGCTTGTGAACTGAAGTTACTTTTGATGGCAGTGTATCTTCTGGAATTCTTCAAGAAAGAAGGGATAAAGGAACAGGTATAATACATAGGAGAGAAAAAGGAAAAGGCTGTGAAAGTGCAAGACAGCAGAAATAAAGAAGATCAAAAAAATCAGAGAAGAGAGAGTAAACAAACCTAATGCAGGATGAAAACACTAGCAGAGTTGACAAAGAAGGAGCTATTAATATCCCAAGTCACACTATTCGAATCTAACCTTACTCAGACTTGGAATATATAGATATTGGTTTGTTATGGGTCATCTGAAAAATCTGGACTTGTTATGACTGAGACTTACTGTGAATTCTCACATTACAGCAGGACAGATTTTGATGCAAAAAAGTGCTTTTACTTTCAGAATATTTCACATTTATGAACATTGCTTTTATATCTTTAAACAAACATGTCCTGTTTCTTGTGTGCTTTTATTCACGTTAAAGTAGTAACAACACTCTCTCTTCTACAACAGGTATGTTGCCGAAGCAAGTAGCAGATGATCTCAGGCAGGGAAAACATGCACGAGCTCAAAGTTACCTAAGTGCCACCATCTTTTTCAGGTATACAAAAATGAAAGATAGGACTAGAACAGACTCCTACTGAAGAAACTTCTAGGCTCCCAGTGGAGGTGAAGCTCCTAACTGAGTACAGAATTTTTATCTATATCTAAACTGCCATTTTTTGTACGAGGTGGCAACTTTTGACTGCAAATTAGTGTCTTTCAAAATCCTTACACCTCTCCATTTCTCATTATAATTGCTTAAATAAAAAATGAGGTTACTGTGGAGCTCTAACACATAGCAGCACGTCACTTTATGTGTGTTACACACACATGCATATATGTTTCATAAGATAGGCCTAAATAAAGGTTCCAGCATTTGGCTGTGTAAAGGAGAATTGTCTACCCTTAGAGTCCAAGTGGATTTACAGTCTTTGACTTATTATGTGTGCATGAAGCAACATATAAATTGCATGTCTTCACTTGTCATAAATGGACAGATATCAAGTTCCTTTTTTTCATTTGTACATAACCCAAAATTGAAGACTGCTTAGTCTGTCACAGATTAAAGTCTAGCTGTAAAAAATGGTTTACTGCATTGGTAAGCAAAAAGACTTAGGTCAATCAGTCCTTTTAAATGGAAGGTGTCTGTTTTCAGTTTAAATAAATGTTTGAAGACAAAACTATTCTGGAAAAAAAGAGGTAGTTCCACTGAGAAATTATTACTCTGTTGTTAGGATTATCAATCTGCAATGGTTAAGACCATGTTCTTTTTGTTGTGTTTTAACAGTGACATTGTTGGCTTCACTCAGCTGTCCAGCAGCAGCACACCTTACCAAGTGGTAGATCTCTTGAACAAGCTTTATACCACTTTTGATGAAATCATAGATAACTACGATGTCTATAAGGTGGAGACAATAGGAGATGCCTGTAAGTTCCTTGAGCTGTGGACAACGGTGTCGCATGGGTATTTCATCAGGATAGAGACTGATTTGATGACAAGGAAGAACAGGTGAAGGACATCTGGATAGCTTATTACCAGGAGAAGACCACATAAAACAACTAGGGAAGAAGTCCTAGCAGAGCCCTAGCAGACTTTAGGAACATTTTCCTGCATACCTTTCATCATTTCTACAATTGATGAATGTTGTGGATGGGACAAATGAGTTCAGTAAACTACTGCTGCTTTTTATTTGATTCCTATGACCTGAAAGGTCTATGACCTGTAAGGTCTGACTTCAAACCCTGGCAACAGATCAATCCCAGTTGGCAACTTCTGTTTCACAGAACACAACTGAAAAACTTACCTTCTATATGGCAGCATAGATGCTATTCCATAAGCTTTATTATCTCTATCTTCTTTCCAAAGACCATGACAACCTTCTCTTTCCTAATACTCTGTGGGGGCTTGGCTGCCTCTTCATTTTGGATTTTTAGGAAAATGGCTTTCTGTTTGCTACCATGAGAATCTACTGGGGATTGACTACCATTAAAATTAAGTTCCATCAAAAACCTAGCAGAATCTAGCAGGATTTTTTGGATGAGAAAGACAAGAAATCCTGTAAGAGATGTGGAAAAAAAAACCTCACTCTTTTTTTTTCTGTGGCGTGGTTAAGCACATTCTGGAGCATAAAATTCCTGAACTAATGCACCCGAGGGATCCTGAAGAGACCTGTCTCTTGTCTTACATAGTAAGAGTCAGGGCAGGAAGCATAGGACAATGCCTAGTGGGAATCATTGTCTCTATAATATCTGCCCAAAGACAAAAGGTATTGAACAGCCACTTTCCCACTACCTGTCCCACTTCAAACATCCTTTATGGAAGGAGGGAGGAAGAAAGGTTAGGAGGGAATAAGTCTCATGGAAAAGTAAGAAGGAAATCCAACATTTTTCAGAGCTACAGTAATTACACACATGAGATGTTGACCTGTCCTTCATTTGTTTCTGGCTTTCTCTGCTCAGCAAGGACAACTGTGCTGCAGGATATGAAGGAATAGGGCTTTATTTTTTTTCTAACTTAGGCAGCATCCTTTGGTAAATCTGTGTGTAATGCCAAAGGTTAACACAGTTGCATTGTTGTGTTTAGATATGGTGGTGTCAGGAGTACCCAAAGAGAATGGGATCCTTCATGCCAGTGAGATCGCAAGCATGGCTTTAGACCTTCTGGATGTCTGCAAGACTTTTAAGATCCCACACAAGACCAACACCCTCTTAAAGATAAGAGCAGGAATTCATTCAGGTATGTTGAGAGGGCTGCAAAAGAGTCCTCCTTTGGTTTAACAAATGTTTCTATAGTGGCATTTGCTTTCCATTAAAAACGAAGTTAATTTCTTGCCATGGGATGGAACACCTCAAAAAGGTCATCCCAACTGAATAAATTATTGGATACTTGGAATACTGGGAACGCAATGCGGAATACAGCATTGGAAACGCCACATGGCCCCAGTGTCTTTGCTGATGTGAGTGAAGACTGCCATTCTGTGTCGGTCACTTCTCCTTTTCAGCTGTTCATTTCTCAAAACAGTGAGTTACTTCTTGACTCTTTGATCTATCCTTCATTCTCAGACTCCCAGCTCCCTGGTCTAAGCTGATACGTGATTGCAAGTCCTTCTTGATAGACAGCCAGAGTTGGACATGTGCTGTGCAGCCCAGCATCTATAAATTAAGCAGCTTACATTGTCTCAGCAAGAGATCATATCTTCTACATTTTAAATCCCCTGGGGCTGACATGAAGGAATCAAAATGTGCATTTTCTGCCTTCAGCGGGAGCAGGTTACTTCCTGTTTCTGCTTTTTGATGTGACTAGTGAGCATTGTGTGCACAACTCCTATTGGCAGCATTCCTGTCTCACTGCCCCTCAAAATATTCTGTTGTCATGTTGAAACATGGTTCTTCAGGTGCATTAATTCATGCATACTAACTCCATCCCATCATCACTCCCCCCACTGTTCTCCTTTGAGATCCTTTTGCAATTCCCTCCATGGCTCTGGAAGCCATCTGTAAGTCAGATGTATAACCCATACAATACAATACTGACACTCAGCCTTTATCTTGTTAATGAATGAGACATAAGGTAATATAGGAAGCAGCCATGAGGCCGTATGACTGATTATGTGATTTAAAAACAAAAAATATCTTGTTTTCTTTTCTTCAACAGGGGCAGTTGTAGCTGGAGTTGTTGGGACCAAAATGCCACGGTATTGTTTATTTGGAGATACTGTGAACACAGCTTCCAGGATGGAATCTACCAGTGAAGGTAACAAGGAACAAACTGCAGATGTGATTTTGACCGTCCCTTAATGAGTTTTGAAAAAAATGTTACGCTGAGTTTTGAGTCCTGTCCTGTTTAAATGACTGCAAATCCTGTCAGGAGCGTGTTGATTTCTGAGTCCAATCTGCCTATGGGCAAATTATACCAGCAATACTCCTACAACCTTTGTAACAAGATCCACTCATTCTCCAAGTCTCACAAAGAATTTTCACGGCTTTGAAGTTCTCGACAATAAAAAAATCTAAGAATCAGATAAAATGAGATGTAAGTGGATA